TTTTTAACCTTTGTTTACATTTGGTTTGGTCCCCATGTAAGCCACCCCAAGTCTCTTCGGGGGAGGGAGGCGGGATATAAAAATAAAATAATTATTATATAGATCCCTTTCCACATGGCCTGCTTTCAAGCCAGGTGTCACCTATTCTTGGAGTGTCCATAGCCTGGGAGTTCTCCAGAATTCATCACTGAGCCTGGAACCTCAGGTTTCCGCAGTGGCCATATTTTGCAAATAACCCTATTATAAAAATAGGATGCTTCAGTGACACTTTTTACTTAATATTATTATTTCTCATGACATCACATTGTTGAAAACATTTTCTAAGAGGCACACTTCCCAGGTTTTCTTACTGTTTACGTTTAGTTAATGGGATGTATTACACATCTTGTCAGCAATCAGTTTATCATGGTCCAGAATCATGTTTGAAATTGATGTTTTCAAAGTATCTTCCATGTTCATCAGTTAAAGTTGCTTGTTCCTTCTTTTTATTCAAGTTCATACTGGAAAAGGTTTGTTCACAGATGTCCCAAAAACTTGTAAGGCACCATCTTGCAAATTTTTAAACTTTCCCTTGTCCAAACTCGTGTAGAAGTCTTTAAGGCTGGTTTCTCTGCTGAGGACTGAAGTTCAAACTGTTGAGGACTGAAGTTCAATAACCTCTAGTTCTAAATGAGCAGAGAGTTCCTGTGCATCCAAGGATCTTCAATTAGTTGTCAAAGGTTTTCATGGCCGGAATCACTGGGTTGCTGTGAGTTTTCTGGGCTATATGGCCATGTTCCAGAAGCATTATCTCCTGACGTTTTGCCCACATCTATGGCAGGCATCCTCAGAGGTGTGAAGTCTCTGAGGATGCCTGCCATAGATGTGGGCAAAACATCAGGAGAAAATTCTTCTGGAACATGGCCATACAGTCCAGAAAACTCACAGCAACCCAGATCTTCAATTACCTTAAATTTAATGTTGAGTCCTTTCGGACAGAGGTAGTCTTTTTGGGGTATGTCAGCTACTCTTTTGCTGCACAGTCATACGGGATAAATTTATATTCTCAAACACACTTTTTTTATCGAGACACAATCCAAAAACTGCATTTAGCAAACGCTTCTATGGTAGAATTTTTATTCTACACCAGTTCAAATTTTATTTATTGTTTATTGCAGACTTCCTATTACAACCTGGTTCAGAAAATCTGTGTTTCTCCAGCTTCCCGTCACCATCTTCCCATGCTGCAGGGGGGTGGCCAATCTGAAATATTAAGAAAAGGAGCTTCTTTGTCAGGTTTTGTTAACTGAGGTGTGCTGGTATAGCAATGTTTCACAGGAAAAGTAAAGCTCTTTTAATGGAAACAACTGAGGACATTGCAGATATTGTATTGTCGAAGGCTTTCATGGCTGGAATCACTAGGTTCTTGTGGGTTTTTTCGGGCTATAGAGCCATGTTCTAGAGGCATTTCTCCTGACGTTTCGCCTGCATCTATGGCAAGCATCCTCAGAGGTAGTGAGCTACCTCTGAGGATGCTTGCCATAGATGCAGGCGAAACGTCAGGAGAAATGCCTCTAGAACATGGCTCTATAGCCCGAAAAAACCCACAAGAACCTATTGCAGATATTATTGCATCCTGGTGAAACAGGTTTTCCTGTGTTTCTTTCTTAGTTCTTTCATCTGTTGTCCAAGTCCCATATTCTACCTTTTTTGTTGTTTTTTTTTTTTGTGTGTGTGCTCTCATTTCCTATCTGGCTTCCCTGATCCTTCTTGCCCATTGCTAAAATGCCTTAGTTTTTCTACCTCCTTTCTCTTCTCCCATTCCTTTCCCATTTCTTCCTCTCGCACTCTCTCCCTTACTTCTTTTATTCCTTGATCAAAACCTTCCTTTTCATTTTTTCTAGCTACACGATGTACTGTAGTTCCAGAATTTCTAAAAAGCACCTGCAGGGGATTAAACAGCAGTTCTCTTACTGCTCGCTTTCTATTGTTTAAATATAAATGAATACATTGTTCTTCAGTAATTTTGGAGTGGTTAAACAGTACTTTTAAAAGACCCAGTTTTGTTCAACTGGGAAAGTGCCAGTAAGCTCATCTGATTGAAATACATTGTGTAAGTGTAGGATCATAGAATTGGACTTGGAATCGATCACATGGGCTATCTAATCCAACCCACTGCCATGCAGGAAAAGCACAATCAAAACACCCCTTACAGGTGGCCATCCAGCTTCTGTTTAAAAGCCTCCAAAGAAGTAGCTTTTTGTTTTGTTTATATAGCTTTGTTTGACTGTTAGCTCAAGAGCAATTGAGAACAGATCTTAATATAGGTCTGCACTCCTTGGATAAGTGTGTATGTGCAGCCCTCACAAAGTTGCATTTGCTCACAGGGTATATTCCTCATTATCCTTGCCTTCCCATTCTTCTGTTGCCTTCCTCCTCCCCAATACCAAATTTTATCACACTTAAGCAGGGAAATAATTTTATTTTCTTTTAGGTTATGCTGCCTGTGGGTGTGTTTACACTGTAGAATAAATACAGTTTGACACCACTTCTGCCATAGCTTGAGGCTGTGGAATCATAGAAACTGTAGTTTTACAGGGTCTTTAGCCTTCTCTCGCAAAGAGTGCTGGTGCCTCACCAAACTATAGCTCCCAGATTCCATAGCATTGAACTATGGCGTTAGACTGATGCCACGAGGTCAGAACCATGCCACCAGGTATGTAATTCCCAGCAGAATTTATTGAAAGAGTGAGGGAGGAGTGGAGCAAACTTATGACCAAGAGGCTTACATTTGCATATGTCAAGCAATGTTATAGATAAGGTCTAGCTGCTATTGGTCAGTGGACCTGTGGCAGCACTTTTTTCCCCTCAATGCTAAAGATGAAGAGAATATTATGAAGTCCATAGAGAACAGGAAGGTGGAAATAGGCCTCAGCTTCAATTTCTGTCATGACAAGAGTGAACTTATTGTGGGTCAAGAAGATGATCAAGATCCTCCACTCAGAGCAGATCAGACTCAAGCAAGATATTGACATATTGAGAATATTGAAGGTATCAGCTTTTGCAGCAGATGTCAGCCTTGATGTTCAGTGCTAGGGCTCAGGTCAAAATGTAACAGGTATGGCTAAAGACCTAGGATGTGGATTGCCAGTGAAAACACAAGGTTTTCTAGAGAAGGGAGACTAGCTATTTTTTTTTATCAGAAGAATGGCTTGGAGTCTTAAAGTATATCAATGTTGAGGTTTTGTGGCAGTGCTTGGAATAGAGAATGGCAGTCTCATCTGTAGAGGAGACCATGGTGAAAGTGAGAAAAGCTGATATCGTACCTGGCATTCAGAAGGGAGCACTGCCACTTTATATCCTCAAAGGTGAAAACCTATTGTCAAGCAACATCAGAGTGTGCTCAAGGTAGAAAAAGTTATAAATGTGGGCAAACATCCAAACTAGGAAAGGCTGCAGCTCTTGCTTTTGCCTGAGCCTCCTGGGAAATGTAAGATTCCTCTTGCCCCTTGAGTTGGCTACACTTTTAAATAAGCTGGGGACAAAGGGGGAATGGGAGTATAGGGAAACTGGAACATTGAAAAAGCATTTGAAAAAGTGAAACAATAGAGGATTAACTGGAAGTGTTCTTGTTAAATCAAGACAATTTGAGGGTACATTTTGGTATCTGCTTCAAACTGCAGTGCAAATGATAGTTTTGGATGCGATATCTGTGCTGTGTTGAGTAACCAGTTTGCCAAATGATCAGATTCATCTGGATAGCTGGGGAGTGGACTAGCAGATGCCTAAATTTTAATATATAAGTGGGTGACATCCAAATGCATTCCCATAATTATCTCTACCCCCAGAACACAAATGGTTAACTTAGAAAATGGTGATTCCTCCCCATTTCACAATAAATTGATCAGTATGCAAGACATTTGTCACCAGCTGAATCATGGTCCACAGTTAAGGTAAACAGATCTGTGATGACACTTTCTGAGCAGAATACCAATGTGGCTGTATTTCTTCCCAGAGGTTTCCATTATTTCTCATGAATTCCTTTTGAAGGAGGATTCAACCCCAAGGATAAAACGATATCAGGTGGGAGATGTGATACAGGGGTCTGGATAGCTGTGCTGAGTCTTGTTATAAGAACAGTGTGTATGTGTGAAAGGGGAGATGGGGAAAGGGAGGGGATTTAGTATAACCTCTATAACATACCTGTTGTTTTAAGATTTTTTTCCCCTTCTGTTCTAAGTCTCAGCTCTAAGGTTTCTATATAAAAAAATATTACTGCATTGTAAAGACTTCTATTCATTGCTCTGCTGCAGAGTTCAGTTTTATTTTATTTTGATGTTAATTTGATAATTGCTAGATGGGTAGGGGAGGACTAAATTTACAGTTGTCTTTTACATAGATGTTCTTACGAAGCTTTCATTGTAGTAAAGGCTTTATAGCTAAATTCTTTGCTCACCTGCCCTGCCCATCTACAAATTATTAAGTATTAGACTGCAAAATTGTTTGCTAGTTGCTTGGTTGTGCAGAGGTTACAAAACTATTATGCATGGCTCAAATCACATTATCGTTGAGTTCTGCCTTTTTAAAAAATGATGTCAGTTTACCTTGGAAACATCGATAGTTATTATTTGCATTCATGTAAAATGGTTTTTTTAAAGAGAGTTATTAATCCAAAGCATACAGAAACATAGAAAAGTTACATTTTTAAAAAGTGATGGTATGGTAATGGTGCATCATTATGCAACTCCATTGTTCAAAACTGCAGTTGTACATTGTTTTAAGATTTTGCATATTCTCAACAGTATACCAGCCATAAATACATTACAAATTATTTATTTGCTTATTCAGCCATTTAAGGTATCATTCCCATTGTTCCTTCTCCTCATTTTATTCTTATGGGAATAACACTGTGAGATAAGGTCAAGACGAATGAGAGAGACTGTTCGAAGTCCAAAAATCCGACCGTTCTGGTGTGTGTTCATTATGCTAAACTGGTCCTCTGTTTACTGTCTCTGTTACAGAAATGGCATCAGACATACCTGGACCGGTGACATTACCGGTGGCACCGATGTCTGCAGGGCAAGTCAGAATGGCAGGGTCCGTGCCTGGTCGAGGAGGAAAGAGGCGCTCAGGGTAAGTTGACTTCATGGATTCAAAGTAATGTTGACATTTTATTTTATGAGCATAACATTAAGGTTAGAGGCAAGTGCCAGAGCTGTCACAGGCAGTTGCAGAGCTTGGAAACAATAACAAATAACAATGTCCTGATTGTTATAATTTTGAAGCACCAAGGCTTGCCTCTTAATCACTTGCTCTCGGCTTTAATTTTTACGTCACCAATTGCCATTGGCAACCTAAGTATTACTGGCCTAACTTGCAGAACTGTTATTGCAATTCTTAAGATAGGGATGGTGGAACCCTGGACTCCCAAGACATTTTGGTTTACAAAGCACTTATCATGTCTGAAATTGGAGGCATGCAGTTTCTGATTCTAGAAGTGACATATATTTGCCATCACTACACATTGACTTGGATAGCCCTATTATACTTCAGAGTAGTGGTTAATTGTTCTAGGACCATGTTGGGCAACCTTTTGAGCTTGGTGTGTCAAAATTTGCCAAAAACCTGAGCATAACTTGGGTGGGGTGTCAACTTCGAGAAAAAATAAACATAATTTTGCAAAATTTATAGTTTAAATAAGAAAAAAATGTATATTCCATGCTGAGTTATGGAGTGAACAAGGCTCAAACGTGCAGATGTTAAATTTGTAGAGCCTTTTACAAATTTAAGGATGGAATTAGATTGGTTCTTATAAGGTGTACTTCTCTGTATGCGGCCTCATGTGGCCGTGTGTCATCAAAAATAGCCATGTGTGTCAGTGCTGACACACGTGTCATAGGTTCACCATCATGGTTCTAGGAGGATCTGGGAGCAAGAAGATTAGAAGGCAGTGTATAATCTGCACTAGCAAGCAATTATTTTATGAATTTGTTGTTGTTCATTCGTTCAGTCGTCTCCCGACTCTTCGTGACCTCATGAACCAGCCCACGCCAGAGCTCCCTGTCGGCCGTTACCACCCCCAGCTCCCTCAAGGTCAGTCCAGTCACTTCAAGGATGCCATCCATCCATCTTGCCCTTGGTCGGCCCCTCTTCCTTTTGCCTTCCACTTTCCCCAGCATAATTGTCTTCTCTAGGCTTTAGCCTGTATGGATTCTGCAATGCACACAGATTGAGGAAATTTGCACTTCTGTTATTTGTGCAAGATGGTAAACAAGATCCTTGTATTGTCGAAGCCTTTCATTGCTGGAATCAACAAATTATTCTCCCTGGTAGCAATCAGCCAGGCTTTGAAGCTGTAAGGCCATTCAGTGCTAACCAAGATGGCCATTTGCAACATTCTCACTTGCCTCAAGCAGACAAGAGTTCTTTCTTCCACCCTGGACATTCCACAGATATATAAACCTCACTTGCCTAGTTTCCAACAAACACCTCAACCTCTAAGAATGCCTGCCATAGATGTGGGTGAAACATCAGGAGAGAATGCTTCTGGAACATAGTCATACAGCCCGGAAAACTCACAGCAACCAAAGATCCTCATCTCCTGCTCATTTGTCAATCTCTGACATTTGAGCTGCCACCAAACATTGTCTGCACTGATTAAAGCAAATGTTTTTGTTACCATAAAGATTAGAAACCTTAACAAAAATATTGATTGCGTTCTCTGCTATCTTGTATACATTTGCTCAATTAAACCAGATGGAAGGACTTTGTTAGATGAGAATCAGATCTGTGTGGAAGATAGATCCTAGATTCTATCTAATTAAGTCTCATTCACATAATTTATCATTTGCATCCATGTCCATATAGAATTTCGGCAGTTCAGTGTTCTGCATCATCATGTGCTGTGCAAATGCTAAGATGGCTACAGCTACCTCTTTCCAAGTAATGGAGTATGGGCACCTAGAAATGTAAAGGCCAAGAAAAGTTTGTTTTACCCTAAAACCTTTCTTTTTCTAGAAGAAAATGTGAAAAATGAATTATGGAATGATGAATTTTAAGACAAGACAATCTATATTTCTTTTCACATTTCTAAAAGTTATGTAATAAGTAGACCTTGAGGTAAAACTATACACAATTTGTACGATCCATTTCCTTTTCTCAATTCTTTTGATGGGAATAAATGCTTTATGACTGCTTGGTATTACTGAGAACTTCAGGAGGCAAGATAATGTTACTAATCTTTATGGTTTCTTCTATCTTACTGATGTTTTCTCTTGCTCTTCATAAAGTTTCCTAATAATAGTTTTTTTTTTTTACAGTTCAGAATGTTATTGTTCCATTTGTACAAAATACAATTAAAAATCAATTTGATTCATCTATATAAATAAAAATGATATGTTCGTTTGTGGGATTAACAGAACTCAAAAACCAGTGGGCGTATTGGCACCCAATTCGGACAGCCTACACCTAACAACCCAATGTATGTCCTTCACTCAAACATTTTTGATTTTGTCATTTGGGAGTTGTAGTTGCTGGGATTTATAGTTCACCTACAATCAAAGAGCATTCTGAACTCCACCAATGATGGAACTGAACCAAAGGTGACACACAGGACTCCCATGACCAACAGAAAAGACTAGAAGGGTTTGGTGGGCATTGACCTTGAGTTTGGGAGTTGTAGTTCACCTACATCCAGAGAGCACTGTGGACTCAAACAATGATGGATCTGGACCAAACTTGGCACAAATACTCCATATGCCCAAATATGAACACAGATGGAGTTTGGGGGAAATAGACCTTGACATTTGGAGTTGTAGTTACTGGGATTTATAGTTCACCTACAATCAAAGAGCATTCTGAACCCCACAAACGACAGAATTGGGGCAAATTTCCCACGCTGAACCCCATCACCAACAGAAAATACTTAAGGCCATCCAGTCCAACTCTCTTCACCAGGCAAGAAAATCTAATCAAAGCCCTCCTGACAAAGAGCCATCCAGCCATAGATATAGATAGATATGATTCACACACACACACACACACACACACAGATATAATATCATAGATTTGAAAGGGACCCCTAAAGAGGGACAACGATATATTGCATATTCCAGAGTAGGCAAACCAGACAATCTCCACATTAACACTGACAAAGAGACAACAAGAAATACTGTTTACCCACAAGCATAAAGAAATTACATAGATTAGAAACCATTACTTTATTTTCCAGATCAACAGACTGGGCCACAGCAACGTGTGGCAGGGGACGACTAGTATTTTTTATAAATAAACTATGTTTTTATTATATCAAACACAGTACTTTTATGCACACTAAGAACATAATGCATTTTATGTTCTTAAATAAAAAACTAACTTTCAATTTGTAAAGAGCATTATTGCATTTTTCAGGTTTTTTTCAAAATCCCCCCCACCTCCAAATCCTATGACATCAAAATGTCAAGGAAATTATTAATCTCTTAGTTTGTTTTACTGTTTCCTACTTTTGATTTGGATGACAAAATGCTTCAGCATTGAACTGTTGCCATGAAATGGCTTTTTAACTTAGGCCCCATCTATACTGCCATATAATGCAGTTACCAACTGCATTATGTGGTCAGGCTCTTATAATACAATTCAGTGCCGTTAAACTGTGTATGACTACACTAACCAAATAATGCAATTTCAAACTGCATTATGCGGCAGTGTAGAGAGGGCCTAAGAACATTTCTGGTTTTTTCCTCTATGTGTCATCGTATGGGCAACTTTACATGAAAGAAGAAACAAATATCTCAACATATATCTTAAAATGCAATACTAGAACATTATTTTCTTTTATGTTTTTATATGAGAACAATTGTTGGCAAAAATGTGTTTTGAATATTAAATAAATGTACCGTACTATTCATTTAAGTCATATGAGTGAGATTTAGTGAAATCTAATTTGCGTAGGAATAACGTTGAAGGAGGGCTTGTTTTGAAAAAATGACTTGCAGGATCGATATACTATCCTGATAGACATGCTATGATGATGATTGAAGACCTACCAGAAGAGGACTTGGTTTGACTTCAAGGTATCTTTGGCAATAACTGAGCTTACTTTATAGCAAACTACAATGACCACTAGAGGCCACTGTTTCTCCACCAATATACAATTACAAGAAGCAACATAAATTATCTCTGGATTTAATGAAAAACACACAATTTCCCATCTCTCCTGTCCAATAAATAATGGCTGTGAGTTGGCAAAGCCTGGTCAAAATGTAAAGGCATATTAATGTAGCATAGTGCCTAAGACAGTTGAGAGCATGAATGGTTCTCATTATTGAATTGCAAATTCCAAGATCCTTCTCCTTGGCTCTGCTGGCTAGGGCTGATGGGAATTGCAGCCTAACAATATTCAGAGGATCTTACAAGACGTCTTGCTTTGGTGGCAATGGATCAGGAATTTTGTTGTCTGTATGGGTGTGTTTGTGCCTCTTGTCTTGTTGAATATGGCAAATTGCATGTGAGTGTTTTTTCATTATTTAGAATCCAGGCAGTACCCAAGTTACAAACAAAATAGGTTCTGTATTTTGTCATGAACAACATAAGTTCTTCAGCTGAATTTGTATGCAAGTCGAAACAGGTACATTTTAAAAGTTACCTCCAGCTATATATATATATATGTATATAAATATACATGCTTGCTTTAGATAGCATAGGGAAGGGTTAAGACCCCTGAGGTGTTTCTTTGCAGTCTTTGCCCCTTTTCAGAAGATTTTATGCCACTTTCTGTTCCTGTGAGAATTGGATTTTGAAAAATTTGGCTTGTTGTGGAAACAAATATTGGCGATAAAGCTTCTTTTCCCCATAATATCTCTTTCAGGAGTTAATTTCATGTCCTAGACATAGATTTCTCTCGCTTCATATTGTCTAACCCCCATTCTTAACTATGAGTTGTATGTAAGTTGAATGTTTGTAATTCAGAGACTGCCTGTAAAAGATTTCTCTATTTTATCATTCTAGGCTGGTAGGAGTTTTACTTAGATTCACAGATTTGAGTATATTTGAGTATATTTGGATTTGATTGTCTGTCCAGAACAGACATGGGCAATCTTGGGCCCTCCAGGTGTTTTGGACTTCAACTCTCACAATTCCTAACTGGCTATTGGGAATTGTGGGAGTTGCAGTCCAAAACACCTGGAGGGCTGACGTTTGCCCATGCCTGGTCTAGAATCTAGATTTATAAGATAAGAGCTTAAATGCTGAGGAGGAATCAGGGTGAGACCAGTCAGAAGCAAATTGTAGATATAGGCCAAACTCTAGATAAGAGATGTTCACCAGCTTCTAAGCAGTTACAACTATCTTCTTTTTTAATAAAATGCCACTGGAAGGATGGAGTTGAAGGAACCAGGAGTAGTCAAAGGTGGCCTCAAGTTTTGCTTTCCAAAAGAGGAAAGGATAGTAAAGGAAGAGTTCTTCCCTTTTGGCTCCCTTCATGATTTTTCTGAATTCCATCATCCCTGGATATGGGCATGTTGGCTGGGGATCTTGGGGCCTTTTAAAATTAAATCTTGACCTTCTTTCAGGACAAGACCTATAGTGGTTTGCATCACATTAAGGGCAACATAGTGTAAATGATACTGAAGTTTACAAAGCATTTAACAAACAGTTCCATTTTTTAAAAAAAAAACATAAATCACAACAGTTGAAAACAGATTTAATTTTGGGGAAAAATACATAACAACATAATAGTTTATTCTACACAGTAACTCAAAAACCAAAGGCTTGCCTATGGAAAAAATGCCTTTATCTGCCAAAAGATGGAGAGGCAAGATGACAGGTCTTCTGCAAGAGGGAATACCACAAATTGGGTAAACATTTCTGGTTGCTTCCCATCATGGCTTTGTGTGATCATATAATATCTCTTTCAGATTAGCCCAATAAGAAAATGTTTTTTTAAAATAGGGATAGTTATAAAATCTTGACCAGTTAGTCAAAAAAGCAAGTGAAAACTGAAATCTCACTAGAGTATAGAAAATGGGAGGGGGAAATGACCCACCACTTGTTTTTTTCAGTGAGATTGACTCATTCAGAAAACTTTTAACATTTTTCAGAATGGACTTTGATGACGAAGATGGTGAAGGGCCCAGCAAATTTTCAAGGTACGTTGTAAATTCAGATTCTGATTATTTCAAGATGGTGCTGAAGCATCTTACATTTAGTAACAGGATTTTGTTTTGATTAAGGCAGCTGATAAATCATATGAAATATAATTGGTCTGATTTGCATATATTTGCATAATTTATACCTAATATTATACCTAATAATGTGTGGTTTTGAACAAAATACAACAATATACAAGAACCCTGGCTGCAGACTTACATGTAAAAGATTTTTTTTATATTAGATTCATCACAGAAATCCTCTTAAAAGAGGCACTCCCATTTTCTCAAGCACCTGGAAGGAAAAAAAATCTTTTCTGATATGGTGTTGTCCTCTCCAATTTTAACAAATACTCTTATTTTTACATTTTAAAATTAATTTCCTCCTGAATGAAATGAAACCCTTTTTAGATTATCAAAGTGATTGATAATTACTACAGTAGCACATGAAAAATAAGCCTGGCATTGCTATTTTAAGTGTTGATTCTGTTAGGGAATTTATGTCCTTTCTTCCTAGTGCCAAGATGGAGGATGTCAAGATGGTAGATTGATTGTGTACGAAAATAATTTTTCTGTTGTGTTGACAAAGCACAGTGCAGAATATTGGGCTGTTCTGGGACGTGAGACAGAATGGTGCCTCTTATCATAAGTCAGTTTCTGTAAGCCTTTATTACTCTGGTTTTATTGCACTGTCCTCCCACAACCTGCATCAGCAATTCCTCTTGAAATGAATGGGATGACAAAGCAATATTTATATTTACAGTTTCATTGCTCCTCTTCTATCACTCACCTATACATGCCAGTTTGACACATTGGCGGTTTTAAAAACGGCCTTCATGAAAACAGCCTCTCATAAATCGGTTTCAAGTGCAGTTTTTTTTGCCATTGCTCATTTTAGACAACATTATGACAACACCTGAAATGTTTGTAAAATGACATCTCCCTATCATTTTGTGGGGTGCATCATATGGTCTGTGGAAAATCTAACCCTTGCTTTAAACCATGGTTTGGGGAAGTTACTTTTTTGATATATAATTCCCAGAAATCCCCAGCTAGCATGACTAATAACTGTGCTGTTGGGCTTTGATCCGTTCTGGTCTGGACACCATATTAAATGCAGTCTCCGAGGATGTGACACGAGCACCTGCTTGTCCTATTTTGATAGATTCGTTTCAATTGGTGAAGCCCGAGGATGTGGACAAGATACTTGGAGGAATGAGGCCTACTACGTCCATCCTAGACCCCTGCCCATCCTGGCTTCTGAAGGAGGCCAGAGGGGGATTGGCTGAGTGGGTAACGGTGGTGGTTAACGCCTCCCTTCGGGAAGGCAAGATTCCAGCGAGCTTAAAACAAGCTATTATAAAACCGCTGTTGAAAAAACCATCACTGGACCCCACTAGATTTGACAACTTTCGGCCAGTATCCAATCTCCCCTTTTTGGGCAAAGTCATGGAAAGCGTAGTGGCCTCACAACTCCAGGTATTCTTGAGAGACACGGATTATCTGGATTCGGCACAGTCTGGTTTCAGACCGGGACATGGAACTGAGACGGTCTTGGTCGCCTTAGTGGATGATCTGCGCCGGGAGCTAGACAGGGGGAGTGTGTCCCTGTTGGTGCTCCTGGACCTCTCAGCGGCCTTCGATACCGTCGACCACGGTATCCTTCTGGGGCGCCTTGCGGAAATGGGCCTTGGGGGCACTGTTCTGCAGTGGCTCCGGTCATTTCTGGAGGGTCGCACCCAGAAGGTGTTATTGGGGGACACCTGTTCAACGCCACAGCCTTTGACTTGTGGGGTTCCACAGGGTTCTATACTGTCCCCCATGCTGTTTAATATCTACATGAAGCCGCTGGGTGAGATCATCCGGAGTTTCGGGGTGCGGGGTCATCTGTACGCAGATGATGTCCAACTCTGTCACTCCTTCCCACCTGCTACTAAGGAGGCTGTCGAGGTCCTGAACCGGTGCTGGCCGCTGTGACGGTCTGGATGAGGGCGAACAAATGGAAATTGAATCCAGACAAGACAGAGGTACTCCTGGTCAGTCGCAAGGCCGAACAGGGCACAGGGTTACAGCCTGTGCTGGATGGGGTCGCACTCCCCTTGAAGGCGCAGGTTCGCAGCTTGGGTGTGATCCTGGATTCATCGTTGAGCCTGGACCCCAGGTTTCGGCGGTGACCAGGGGAGCTTTTGCACAGCTTAGGCTCGTGCGCCAGCTGCGCCCGTACCTTGGGAAGTCTGACTTGGCCACGGTAGTACACGCTCTGGTCACATCCCGCTTGGACTACTGCAACGCTCTCTACGTGGGGCTGCCCTTGAAGACGGCCCGGAAGCTCCAGCTAGTCCAGCGCGCGGCAGCCATGTTACTAACAGGAGCGGGACGCAGGGAGCACACAACGCCCTTGTTGTTCCAGCTCCACTGGCTGCCGATCTGCTACTGGGCCCAATTCAAGGTGCTGGTGTTGGCCTACAAAGCCCTAAACGGTTCCGGCCCAAAATACCTGTCTGTCCGCATCTCGGCCTATGAGCCCACGAGGACTTTGAGATCGTCCGGGGAGGCCCTTCTCTCGATCCCGCCCGCCTCTCAGGCACGCCTGGCGGGGACTAGGGATAGGGCCTTCTCGGTGGTGGCCCCCCGGCTGTGGAACACCCTCCCTGTGGACATCAGAGTAGCGCCCTCCCTCATGACATTCCGAAAGAAACTAAAGACGTGGCTCTTTGAGAAAGCGTTTGTGTAAGTGCTGCAACAATTGGCAAGGACGATTAGAATGGAACATGGATAATGAGATTCGGATTGTGATTCAACGATGAGACGTGGCGAATGCTGTAGTGTAAATGTATTATTGATAGTGTTGTTGTTATTGTTGTTATGTAATTGCTTTGTTGAAATTGTACCTGGTTTTATATGTTGTACACCGCCGTGAGTCGCCCTAGGGCTGAGAAGGGCGGTCTACAAATGTAGTAAATAAATAAATAAAATAAATTATAATCCTCAAAACTTTTCCTGGTTCTTGTTATATAAACAACAGTACTCCAGGTGCAGACACAATGGGGAGCAGCACTAGAAACAGAAACTTTTGTTTTCCTTCTCATGGTTTCCCAAGAGTAGGAAGGAGCGTGTGAACCAGAGCCCACAGTGGGCTAATGCAATGCATTGCAAGACTGCAGTTTGTATATGGACTTTAGCATATGAGTGCAAGGTGTCATCTTGGTGTTTTGCTAGGCTGCTTCCCTCAAGACCAGGGCAGTATTTTTATCTATTTACTATGCTTTTTCTTTTGTCTTATAGGTATGATGATCAAAACTCTGGTGATAAGGAAATATATGCAAGGTAGGCGCTGAGAGAACAGTAAGGGATAATGCTACCCTAAACAAGAATCAAGTGTTTCCGGCTTTAGCTCTTCAGCTTAAAGGGTTAGTCAAAATAGAATGGTCACACAAGAGAAAATAATCTATCCAGAATGTGCATACTTGGAAATATATTTTCTAAAGAATGAAAATAGAGTTTGTCTATCAAAGAGGTAATGTAAGTTTTATAGGAAAGAATGTGAACAATGGATACAACTCTTTGACTCCAAAGGAGATTCCTTGAAAATAAATGATATATGTATCATAGGATGTTCGGATGCTTCAGCCTTGATCCAGGTAAAACATGCCTACTGCCCAAACCCCTGGTTGGAAATATACATCTCCAATGGTATCACTGTGGCCATCCTCTCTTCCTGTTATACAAACCTTCAGGATGATTACATTTGCAAAGGAGTAGGCTGTAACTCCTTTGCCAATCTTTGAACTTGGAAGGTCTCAGAGACAGTCAGTGACTTCTCTCTTTCGCTTTTAAGGTCCAGGCACTGATTTATTTTTATTTATTTTATTTATATCTTCCCATTTTTCCAAATATGGGATCCAACATAGATTAAAACCATAGAAAATGGGAAAGGATCCTAGAAAGGTAGAACCAGTTAGAACATATAATCGTGGGCTTGAGGGATAAATGGGATATCTCGATATATCTTACTTTACAAATACAAAAGCTTAAAAGAAACATACTCAAAGCTAATTTAGCAATCAAGATCAACCAGTTGTATGATGTATGCTACTCTGAGTCCCTGTGGGGTGAGAAGAGCGGGATGTAAATGAAGAAAATAAAGAAATAATAAATAAGTATGGCTGACAAAGTAGTAGTTGCTTTTAAAAGGTTAGACAAACAGAGCAGCTTTGGCTAAAAGATAGCAGTGTCTGCACCTGAACTAGTTATCTTTTTGGATTGGAACTCATAGAATCATCCAGCTTGTATAGCCAGTGGATGCTTCTTGTGGTAGAAAAACGTAATTTTTCCAATCTTGTCAGCATTAGGAAAATATGCTAGGGGATGAATTTGTATAGTCAAGATACCAACACAAAGCTGACTTTGTCAACTAAACAAACTTTAAAAGCTGGAATAGAATATTGATTAAGTTCTTCATTGATGCACATGCTTCAGTGTGCCCCTGTACTATGTTTATTTCCACTGGGGCTATCCTGGACATCCCATCTCCACCCATGCACCCAAATTTGGGTGATTTGACCATTTAAATTGGCACATTGGTTCAGATCATCGTAGTGTAGACAATTACTCAGGTTCTTTAAATTGCTCTGCAATCACTGTCCAGATATGGATGAATAGTTTCTTGGAGGCACATGATTTGGTATGTTCCAAAGGCAAAATATAACATGTGACATGCCAAACTGTGGTTAATATATCTTACTATTTGCAGCAGAGACTTCACTGCTGCAGCTGAGGTCATTTTCTCTTTCAGTGGGCTTTGTCAGGCTTCTTTACCCATCAGGTATCACCTAATTCTTGGACACTGTAAGTGCACCTAAATGGTCCTTTCCTCCAAATGGATTGCAGGGTTGTGTTTGAGAGAGAGAGAGAAAGGGCAAGTCATGTTTATGGACTGTTCAAATATTGAGCATTACTGAGTAACATTTACTTTCTCCACAAGTTGTGTCATAAATGGTATGAACAATTGCAAATGTGTTCAAACCACCAATTAATAATTCTGTAGTAATCTCTAGGTAGGAGGCTTCAGTAGTTTAAAAACTGCATTGGAAGAGAGAGACATGTACTTCACCCCTGTGTAGAACTTTATGACACCACTCTTGTTCACAATCTTGGTTCTGGATGTAAGACAACTATGGCTGGGTGTAGAAATAAGCTTCCTAAGAAGATCATTTCACTTGAAATTATGTATACAACAATGCTAACAGAGTCATAACAAGCTAGAGGGTGGTAGAATAAAGATTTCCGGTTCCCAGGTGGTGGCTTCTCTGGATTTGACAAAATTAGTATGGACCGAAAATAAGAGAATCTGCTTAGCTGCATCATTTATGTTAAAGATTCAAGCTTTTCTCATTGCAAAATGTGTTTTGCCTGGGTCTAAACGAATTCATTTAAATACTTATATGGCTAGCACACTTAGCTATGTATATATAAGTGTGATAATGTAGAGGATATGTTAGCAAAGTAAGATTTGATTGAGCAGATTGTTTCAATGGTGGGAACAATTTCACTTGCAATCATATTAACCAGATTTGTGGGATTGTGAGAAGGGAGGGGGGGGGGAAGTTGGATTCCTTAGAACTTATTTGAGATTCATGCAGTGCTCTTTAAAAACACTTTGCCCATTCCCTGCCTGCTGCCAAGCTCAGATTGGACTTCAGGTGGGACCTAACACTAGTGTTCAACCATGCATTGCCTCCATGCAGAGCTCCTGTGTACTACAATGCATGCATGGAGCTCCCCGGCCTGTAGAGATCCACCTTGTTCATTTCAGTGGAGGAGGAAGATCTGCCCGCGTCAGGAAATGTGAAAGTGGATCTATTTCCTCCATTGCAATTTTAAGGCTTTGTGGGCAGGGGAGCTCCAGGTGTGCTCTGTGCCTGTAAGAAATCACTTGGCTTGGGGGTTACTTGCCGTAGATTTCCAGCATGTCTAATGAAAAGCAGTAATTCTTTGCCCTTAATATGCATGAAAAGTGCCATAAAAATTTCAAAGTATTCACTGCATATCCCCAATCATTGTTTGATAGTCATTTATTTTCATGTGAAGAGCATAATATTAGGGTGGGTAATTTATGGTTGTTGGACTTCACCTTCTGTCGGAGTCTAATAAGCATGTTGAATACTCTGGGAAGGTGGGACTTGTAGTCCAACAGCAATTCGAGAGCCAGATATTCCCTACTCTCTTTGTAGCGGAATAAATGTCAGACCTTCCATCTGTTCTGATTTGACAGGGACAATCTTGATTAATCCTCTGAAGCCCCACTTTTTCAACTGTCTTCAAAACCTCCCAGTTTCTCTCTCATCCTTCCACTTTTTTTTGTCTTCAGTTTACTTCTTTTGCTGCAATCCAAGTCCAGAGTGCAAAAGTAGTTGCGCCCTGTTAACTCAGCAGTAGCAAAAAGAAAAGAGGACAAAATCCTGTTTTTTCCCCAGTTCGCTCAGGCAACAGAAAACTGCTTGCTCATTCCTAACTTCTCTCACTTTGACCACACACTGATGTTGCTGAGTTAAACAGGGTGCAAAGCTACCTTTGCACTCTGTGTCCCAATTTTCATCCGTGACATGTTGAAGGGTATGAAATGTAGGACCTGCAAAATAACCATTTCAGACTATGGGTCACAGACTTCCCAGTCAACATGGGGTCATATTGGCTGTGGGACTCTGGAAATTCCAATCCAAGAAGGTAACTTCTAATCGTAACCCAGTAATTCTGTATACTGCAGTAGACTTACAGTGCAATTCTCTATATGCCTGCCCAAAGTGAAAATCACAAAGTAATATCTAGGATTGCAGCAATGCCATAGGGCATAGGAGAACTGTTGAGAATTTAGCTTTCTCCTCTCTGCATAGCCTTGTCCTCTGGGTTCCATTCTCAGCCCTTTTGAATACGCTCTGATCAATTGTAATGATTTCCAAGCACCACATCTTTTACCGACAGCATCTCGCTTTCTCTCTCGGTTTGCTCCTTCTCATGTGCGTTTAGGGAGAACCATAGTGAGATCGAGAGACGCAGGAGGAACAAGATGACCCAGTACATCACCGAGCTCTCTGACATGGTGCCCACCTGCAGCGCCTTGGCGCGCAAACCTGACAAGCTGACCATTCTCCGCATGGCAGTGTCACACATGAAGTCTATGAGGGGCACTGGGAACAAATCTACTGATGGCGCATATAAACCTTCTTTCCTAACTGAGCAGGTGGGTGGCTTCATGGGTGTGGAAGCACAGAAGGTGGTTTCAGGCACTGCGTTGTCCGTTGAGTTCTAGATGCTGTAGTTGGGAAAGTGAGCTCTGTTGTTTTGTAGACAGGATGATTTTTTCATCTGGACCCATTGGTCCTTTAGTTGATTAGAAAGGGGAATGCAGAAACACATATTATGGCATCCTAAAATGTCACATATCAGGAAGGATCTTTGTGTACCTGTGTAATTTCCATACCTTTTTCTCCAGCTGTGGAACTTCCTTCCCCTTGGGACTCATCCACCATGATAGTTTACTTATTACATCAAAGTATTATTATTATTATTATTATTATTATTATTATTATTATTATTATCCAGCATCTAGTTAGTTTGGATTGGCATATAACTCTTTCACAAATTGCCTCTAAATAGTTAACATATGTTTTTCAAACAATTCTTAATAGCTGAATAAAAATTTAAGGGGCAAGAGTGAGACTTTGTGTATGGCTGTGAGCTATGGTGTGTCCATTTGATCTAAGTGACCAGAAAAGACTTATTTGCCCACGTGTGTTTGCACAGGCACATGTCACTGCACATATGCATTTACTTCTAGATGGAAGTTTTAGTGATATTTTAATTAACTCTCCTCCTTCATGGAATGTTATCAGCAGGAGGCTACAGGCAATGTTCACTTATAACGTTCTCATGGGGAGAAGGGAAAGACAGAATAGCCCCTGTTACTGCATTGTGTTTGTCTGTATGAGAGAGAAGGCATGAAGATAAGAGATAGGACAGATCAGACTATGGATAATTCAACACTGAAGCATGAAGTTCAAAAAGAGGAAGGAGAGTGTCATGTTTCATGTATTTAAATGTAGACAGGCATTACGTCTAAATATAATCATTGTCCTTTAACCTTTCATCTTCGATGGAAAGCTTGAAAGCTTGACTGAAATAAAATATAAACGAAAATGGACCATTTTGATTTTTGAAATTGCACCATAGAGTGATAATTTTGATTTTTAAAATTGTTCTACATAAGGATCAGTTCTCTATTACTGAAAATTAAGGTGGATTTTCTTATAGTGAAGTTTGTATGAGTTTGCACTGCTACAAGTGCTTATTAGCCAGTCTTCAATTTCAGGTCTCAAAGCAGCATATAAAACCAGTCAAGCAGGAAGATGAAAATCATATTGCAATGAAATAATACATAGCCATACAATATAGGGAATTCTTTTTTTGGTGCAACTAGAAAGACCCAAAAGTTCTGAGGAAAGAGAAAGCTTTCTAGCTGGTGCTGAAAGGAAAACATCAGTGTCAGGTGGCAAACGCCAAGCCTTGGTTGAGGAAAGACCTTTAAAGACTGAGTGCTGCAGTGAAAAAGCCATGTCTTTTGTAGTTAGGCAGGCAGTGGAAGAGCCTGTCACATTCAGATGAGTGTGAATTATAGAAGTGAAAGCCCAGTCTGGTCTGGAAGCTCTTCTTGATGCCCTAGCAACTCAAGGGAAGTGAACACTTTGCAGATGGATGCAGTGTAGAGAACCTTTGATAAACAGAATCTGGTCCTACAGAGAAACCCAAAGGACAGTGGCCTCCACCACATTGAGACCAGCGGACCAGTTGAAGGGGTGCATGGGGGTTGTCCACCTGACCCCTGTCACAAACACCTTGCTGCCTTTCACTGCTCACACCCTAAAACTTGCTACCCATTCTATCTAATGGTAGAGCAGGCCTTCGCAGACCACAGTTTTCAAGCCCTCGGCACAGAGACTTCTTAGAATTTGCTATTATTTAGACAATGGGCTTCCACATTTGTTTTGGAAGGAAATAATTAAGGAACTTCAGGGTGTGTTTTTGTTTGTTCTAAAATTAATGCTCAGAATAGCAAATGGGGGCCCTCTTTGTGGATAGCACAGGGCAGTGGCAGAAGAGCAAGTTTTTGCAGCCATTCATGGCTATTTTAATTTTATGAGTGTGTTGTTGAAATTCATTGAGTTTGCTTGGACAAGGAATACTCAGAGGTGGTTTTGCCAGCTTCTTTGAAATGTAGCCTGCAGTATGTTGTATTAGTTGGCCATCTCCCATCCATTGTTTCCAGGTTATCTGACATGGACACTAACCAGGTCTGGCCTTGTTTAGCTTCCAAGATCAGACAGAATCTGATGCCTTTAGAGAAGATTTAGGCCCCCTATTTATCTTACTTTTCCAGAATATCCTGGGTGTTGTGTTGTGCAGTGAAATGAAAGAATGGCAGCTATCAGGAATGGTTCCATACATCTAAAAATAATAGTTTCATATTAGTGAAAGAGAAATTAAAACCTGGATATGTGATTTGAAATGTACAACATTGTTTTCTTTTTTAAATTACATATTTAATTTGCTCTTACAAATGAAGTGCATTGAGTTGTACAGCAACAACAACAAAACGTTCTGCTGCCTTGTTCAAAAATTGCTTCATGTTTTATTGCCTTGCTAATACTTTTTTCTTGTTTTCTTGGCAAGGAATTGAAACACCTCATCCTCGAAGCAGCGGACGGTTTTCTCTTCGTCGTCGCTGCTGAAACGGGCCGAGTTATCTATGTGTCCGACTCTCTTACTCCTGTTCTGAACCAGCCACAGTCCGAATGGTTTGGTAGCACCCTCTATGAGCAGGTTCACCCCGATGATGTGGAGAAGTTGAGGGAGCAGCTCTGTACCTCCGAGAACTCAATGACAGGTCAGCTTTCTTTTGAGGCGTGAGTCTCCTTGTAATGGGTTGTAATATTGTCACGGTCTCTAATGAAAATGCCCTGATGCATTGTTTTCAGGCTATCTGATGTGGACATTCAGCAATTTCCCCCTTCTCGTTGCCAGAGGCCAGTACCATCTTTGTGTCCATTGGCTAGCATTGTTTCTTGGAAGCGCCTCAGATGCTTGAGGGACCATCTGACTGGCAAACAACTTGTGAATTTGATTATTCATGGAATTTGATTAAAAATATTCTCTCCAGGAATCACTAGGCCTTCCAATGTGACTGTGATTAACTTTCTTGAGTCATGCTGGAGATTTCAAGAGAAAACATATTTCTAGGAATATTTAGATCTCCCAATGCAATTCTTTGTTCAGCTTCCAGCGGACATTGAAAGCTGGAAGATCTAGACATTCTAAGAGAGGCATTCTCTCACGTTAAAAAATACACCAATTCCTTTGTTTACGTTCTTTTTCCTTTCATGGGGTCCTATGCAAATGTGAAGGGGTAACTGTAGCATAGTGTGAAAGGCCACCAATGCTCTCCACTTGTTAAGGACCTCAGACATAGCCAGTGATGGAACAAAAAGTATCCAACTTTTTGTATGGGGGTTTGAACCATTGGGACCATTTTTGGTCTCAACTAATATAGCATCGAAAATAATGTCTTGTGTTATTTTTCAATGAACCAGTACAACCAAAGGGATCTGCTCTAGTTCCAAGTCAGTTGGTCCTATTCAATGAGATGGGATGGAGACAATGAACATGAAGGCAGAGCACTGTCAAAAGAACCATCTGTAAGCCACTCCAGTACCCTTTTTGGCTTAAGAGTGGAGTATAGTGCTCTAAGTAAATACATAAGCACTTGTCAATCTTCTAAATCTGGAACATGGGAATTTCTAGTGGGAATTCTCACTTAATGCAGCTCACATAATGCAAGGTATTTTTTATCTTGGTGCATGAGAGATAAACTAACTCATGTGAGCATGCTGGAGGTGGGGCAGATTAAAGGAAAGAGTTTGTTCCCAAGAATAGGCAACAATAAAGTCCATGTAAACCTGGTCTTTTCTTCTGTGGTTTTGGTGAGGCTGACCTTTTCTTGCTGGTAGTATAATGCTGATGTAAGTAATTTGTTGTTGTGCTTTTTGTCTTAGCCACTGCCTCAACTTTGTTTTGGCTGCTGTTTCGTGTTCACCTTGGCTGTGCTGCCACATTTTCATTTAAGTTGTTTTTGTGTGTGTATTTCTGGATCTCTCTCTCTCTCTCTTTCTCTGTTTTTTTGTTTTCCTTGAACTATTCCATATTCTGTTTTTGGGTTTAACTTCCTTTTCTTTATGACAGTGACCCCGAACTTGCCTGCTTTTCCCATTAAAAATAATCACAGAGCCATGTGGAGCTCTCACTAATGTCTTTCAAATTGATGGGATGTGATCTCATAGACTGCAAGATGGTGGAAGGTTAAACTGTAGTGACATGGTAAAACAGACCCACACTTCTTGGATTCAGAATATCTTTAAAAAGAGGGGGCGAGTTTGTTTTCTTCTGCTCTAGAGACTAGGACACAAAGGAGCAATGGATTCAAATTGCAGGGAAAGAGATTCCACTTAGACATTAGGAAGAATTTTCTGACAGTAAGAGCTGTTTGACAGTGGAATATGCTAGAGGTTTTGAAGCAGAGGATGGATAGCCATCTCTCGGGCGTGCTTTGATTGTGCGTTCCTGCATGGCAGAATGGGATAAACTGTGTCCCCTTGTGCTCTCTTCCAATTCTATACAGGAACCACCTAGTTCCTTTTCATTCTGGTTACCCTGTGAGGTCGTACACCTTTCTTTCAATCTCTTGTTTTCTGATACTTGCTTCTTTTTCTTTCCCTTTGTTTTGTTTATTTATTTATTTACAGTATTTATATTCTGCCTTTCTCTGAGTCAGGCCAGATCACAGAACACATATATGGCAGACTTTTAATGCCATTATACACTGACAAGACAGACCATTGTACATGGATAGAGGGATATACAGGCGTTCCCATGGAGACTGTGCTTGTTTTCGGCGGGGGGGGGGGGGGGGGGGGAAGAGATGCTGTTGCTCCATCTTCCCTGCCAAAGAGCTTTGTTCATAAACTTCCTCCTTGATTGAATTCCTGCCATTTTTCTGGCATTTCCTTGTGGGTGCCTTAAATACCTCCCCATTTTAAAGCAGTACCTATTCATCTGCTCACATTTGCTTTCGAACTGCTAGTTAGGCAGAAGCTGGGCTAAAGGCCAAGAGCTCACACTGACCTGGGCTTCGAACTGTCAACCGTTCGATTGGCGAAATTTTCTGCAGCTGGTGGTTAACCTGCTGTTTTAAAGCCCGGCCTTCAACAGGCTGTTGGAGGAAAGGCAGATTGCTCTTCTCATGACTGAATTTGCAGAGACCAAAGGCTATTGCTTACCTTGCCTGATTTTGATTTAATTTCTTTCATCCTTTTAAAAGCCTTTTGAACTCTTGGACAACTCCCCATCTTGTGCTGCAGAATACCACTTATGGTGGGACCCCACTTCTCAGGAAATTCCTACTTCTCAGAAACTAAATTTGGGTCAGCAGTCTTCTAGGTCATGGCTCATAGTTATGTAGCTTCTCCAAGTAACATTGCAGATATTTAGGAAGAGAACAGAGTATCTTCTTTATTCCAGCAGGCTTTTTGATCTTTGTAACTGCTGAAATGTTTTAATAGATAGCATTCTGCTTTTTAATGGTATTGTTTCACATTCTTCTTGTATGACTTGGCAAGCTTGTGGGGAGAAAAGCATGCTTTACAATATCACATAAAATTATTTTGGGGGGTGGCAGGGAGAGGGAAGAACTCAGAACTTGGCAAGCCATTTGCTCAGCCCCAAGACTTTTTCCAGGCAAACAAGTTTTTTGTAGGGAAAGGAAAGGTCAGCAGAAGCTCTGAAAGAGTGTGCTGTAGTGTAGCCAGCAAATTTCTTTATTTCTGGCTCTCCACAGCCAGCTAGAGATTCACATGTGCTTAACAATGCCCTGCTACTGGCAACTGTACAATATCAATAGCAACCAATGGGAACTTTGGATGGCAAACTTTGCTCGTTTAACTTGCTATTTGTGAAGTATAGCTTGTGCTTGCACACTAGATTTCTCTGGATGGCATATCTGGACAACATGTTAAAGCACAGCCTTCCAAATATTGCTGAACCAATGGTGAATGCTAGAATATTCAATTCAGCAATTTCTGGAAGGACTTTGCTCATTCTCTAAGTGCTGGCAGAGGGCAAAACAGTTACTACCACTACTAACGACTACATTTACAGATAGCCATTCAATTGAGAAGTGTTTGCAAGATGGCTTACAATATAGTTGAAATACAGTTTACAAACTATAGCAAAGAAGGGACCATACATATGCCATTCTTCTGTTCTGATTTGGCGGGGGAAATTAATCCTCTGCCTTTCCACTTTTTTGGCATGTCCCCATTCTCACCCATCAATCAATTTCCCTCCTTTTATCCTCAAATCGTTTCATTTGCTTCAATCTTGAGTTTACAGAGCAAGGAGAAAGTAATTCGAATTGATATGCGTGACAATGATTTAGGCCATCTGGGTTCATTTTGGAGCAAAACAATGTGATGGTTTTTGGTGAACTCTCCCCTAATCGAGCTTGTGGATTGTATTGTCTCTTCTGAGATGTGTTGAGAGGTTTAACTTTCAGAAAAACAGATAATCAAAGGCAGAAACCATCCATGTCCTTTTTGTCCTGTGCAACTGAAAAGCACGACCAAGCAGATTTAATTGATTTTAATTTGCTTGGCATTGACATGATTGCATGCTCCATTTATATGATTGTTTTGCGGCGCCACAACAGTAAACAATGTACACTTAAAAATAATCATACTGGAAACAGTGATGGAGAGCAGACTGGATTATTTTGGTTTGGCGACTTTTTATTAAATTCAAAAACATAAAATCTGCAGTAACACTGCTGAAAAGCAATGTGCCATAATATTGGAATACACAGGGAGTTTTCAGAGATCAGAATAAGGGGATAGCTGCCATTCAGAAAACATAAGATCAAATTTGCACACAAAGAGAAAATCCAGATTTTGTTGGAGGCAGATTGGTTGAGTGTGATAGAAGATTAATTAATCTGTTAAGACACTTGGAGCAGTGTATGACACAAGGCCCAAAAAGAAGATACAGTGGAGAAAAGAGGTAGAAAAAGACCTTTAATTGTTGCTTGATAAATACCAGAAGAGAATTACATGTTCAGTGCCACACAAATAGCATTCCAGATTCCTGCTCCCAAATGACACTTCATAGACTTTGTTATCATATCTTTTATTCCCTCATCTTAGTGCTCCTTATGGTTTGTGACCAGTTTAGTGCCAGTCTTTACCCCTTTAATCTCATCTCTTGAAATACCCCACATATCTGACTACTTTGGTTGCCATTATCACTGGATTGTTGCCAATACTTGTACTGGCTCTCTCTGTTTTGAATATTGCTGCTCATTATGCAACCAGCATGCTGGGGTGATTTGAGATATTGGACTAGGACTCTGAAAAATCCCCATTGTGTGACCGTGGGCAAGTTCTCATTCATTCAGCCTCAGAAGAAGTCAATGGCAAATCCCTTCTAAATCAATTTAGCCCAGAAACCCCTGTGATAGATTCATCTGGGGGTTGAGGCAGAGAAAAGGGCTATTTGCTTGCAGGAACTTGTAGACCAATAGCCACCATTCAACAAATTGACCAAGAGAGACTGCATCATATCCAACGAGTGTTAAATAGGAGACACTGACCTAATTAGGCACCTTGTATCTGGAGACATCTCCCTATAACTCTTTCAAACACCCTCTAGTAGCTTTGTTGTTTTCTACTCCCACTTCCTGATGACTAGCAGTACTCTTTGTGTGTCAGTGTTTTCCTGACTGATTATGATTTATAACCTTTTTTTATTTCTTGCTAGCTTTGCTTATCTGAACTACTAACTTTCTGAATGAAAGTTACAACTACCCTCTTGCTTCTCTTTTTATCCTGGTAGATACTCTTAAATGCCCTAGATGGAACACTGTTCCTGTGTCCTAAATACTGGGACATTTGCTGATTGAAGCATAGGACAGTTGCCTAATCGGACATGACACAAAACAAAATGCACCCATAAGGCGTTTTGAACAATGATGGAACATGAGGTCCTCTTAGATCCAGGAATGGGGCTAATTTGACATGCATACCAGTATCTGCTTTCTGTACCTCTTTCTCTCCCCTACCCCTCTTTTTTTGTCTATTGTTTGGAGAAGTGGCTGGTATGTCCCATTTATAGCTCTGAGATGCACAGGGATTTGGTTTTCTTTTTGACACTACCACATCAGCACATGATATCTATTTCTGTGCAGAGCTATGAATTTTCTGGCAGGCTGGTTTCATAATTTAATAGCAGCAGTTTCCATCCACACTGGCCAATTGTCCATGTTCCAGTCAGAAAAGTTCATTTGGAGCTCTGTATGCTTAGCCTCATTTTTTAAAATACTACACAGGAGTATTTCTATATTTTTCATTTTCTTTTAAAGTTTTGGAACTGCACTTGTCTTAGTTCTCCATAACTAACCTCAGAAATTACCAGACCTTTGCATCAGGAAGCAGAAGAAAAATCAAAAGACCTTTAGCAGTTTTGGATACACATAAATAAGTAGTCTTTCAAGCTATATTTAAGGGGTCTCCAGGATTCCTTGGGGCTTATCAGAGATACTTGGATGCATATCAGGGGTATATATTTGTGTCAGACAGCATGGCTACCACCACTCCTTGTCTGTCTGTCCTGCACTAAAAGACGTTTACCATCTGGTCAAGTTCAGTGGTCCATTTCTTGGGAAGCAGCAGACTGTCCAGATAGGAGTAAGGTAACAGTAGGGTCAGTGGTTAACCTAATGTCAAATAAATACATACTAACAGAGGGTAATTCATTCCAAATCCTGGCATAAAATCAAGATGTCCATAGTAAAAACCACAAGCAGAACAAATCAGATACAAGTCTAGGAGAGCCAGGAAGTTACACAAGAAAGATCATCTTGTGTCATCTATCAATTAGGCAGTCTTCAAGAAATATGAGTTGTCGGGAATGACTGTCAAGAGCCACCTGAGGCAGTGCTCTCAGCAAAATGATTGTGCTGGTTCTGGGATTTTTCAGTAGCACAAGACAAGAAAAATACACAAAGTAGAAACGGGGCCAGTTATATAATGCAAATACCATGTTTTAAGATTATTGGGCATAGGAAGAAAAGAAATAAAGATATCAGGATATGTCTAGGCTTTTTTCTTCTGACTTTGTACTTTTTCTTCAAAGAGGCCAAAATCTGCATCCAATAAAATGAAAGTAAAGTGATTCTTGTGCCATTCTCATTCCATTTTGCTTTTACTGCTGTTGAATGGCATTGCAATACATCTACAAAACCAAGAAGCAGTCATATCTGTTCGTTTTTCATATTATTGTTTCATTCCCTTTTTATAGTTATAGTTTGGCCACATTTCACGGACAAAAAACGGAAGTAATGTTGGAAATTGGCTGCAGGGTTCTGAGAGTTGCAGTCCCCCTTTCTTGCTTTTGAAGATTAACTGGAATACTATGAGTTTATTAACTTCTGTTTATATATTTATGTATAACAACAACAATATTTATTACATTCCATAGATATATCAGTAAACAAACTGATGCATTTATGTACTTTATACCCCGCCTTTCTCCCCATGGGGACTCAAGGAGCTAACAACCACACAATCTGGTCACTTCTAGTCAAACGTTACACACAAGGTCTGTTTCTAATTGGAGCCACATGGGGTACTCTTAAGGTTCTCATTTTTGCTTCAAACCATTAATAACTTCCTCTTGTTCTTTTGTGTCTTGCTTTATGGCATTTCTTCCCACAAGAGAAGGGTGTTTTTGGATTCTACCAAGATTTCTTCCACTACCTTTTCAATTCCTGTTTTCTGTTTTCTTTTCTGAGCAGCCTGTGGAGTATTTGTCTTGGAGTATAAAGCTATCTCTTGTTATCTTTCCTAAGACAAAACTCATTTCTTGATTTATTTCAATGGAAGGAGAAACCTGTAGGACAGAAATCAGGAGGTTGCAGCAGGGATAATAGGTGGTAGGTTACATTTCACCCTGAGTTAATGAAGAAATGCAAAGTTGTCCTTCCTGTGGTAGGTTGAAACCTTCTATTCAGGCAGGCTTTTAAGACGGAAACAAATGTAAGAAAGAGCCAGGGGTGCTGTGTAGTGTTTTAGCTCTTTGAACAGTTTTTAATTGTCATCCTTTCTCAGGTCATAAATATTCTTCTGGGTCATACCTCAAGTAGGTCACTGGGGCTGACCAGGGTATAATTCGGAGCAGGACCTGGCTCATGCAGTTATACTTTGGAGTCATCATCTAAAGACATTCCAAAGAGAAGATGTAATGGCCAGAAATATGACAGTGGGTAACATGTTGCATTAAGGTGCTGCCTGCCAAAATATCTATCATATGAGGGCAATTAATGTCTTTCATAACTGTCTACCACTGGGAGCAGAGCAGGAGGGAGTCATTTCCATTTTCCAGAATTTGATCATAGCATTCATCACGTTATCTTGCTTTTATGAAAGGCATTTGTCATTACTGAGAATTATTTTCCTAATTTGTTTTTCCAGTTGTTTTTCTAACTCATTGTCTTGCTGAAGGAATGTACCATACATTGATGAATACATCTGTACAAAATACATACTTGTTTTCAGTTAGGTCTTTGTTTTTTGTTTATGTGAATAGGAGTATGCATCACTGTGCAGGTATTCAATATTGATCTGTCCTTTGTGACTGATAGTTTTCATTTAGTTCAATGTGCTTGTTCCTTTCAGAACACTTGTAAGCCACTGTGCAGCTGGTTTGAAAAACAGATTAGAACTTTTCCTATTAAATAAAATTAAGCAATGTTTCATTGCATACCAGTTTGAATTACTATGAGTTTATTTGTTACTCATGTCAGCATGGTTCTCCCTTAGAACTTCTCAGCAGAAACTAGGAACATGAATAACTCATGCCACACTAACAGACCCTTTAATAGCAACACATCTATGCTTGTCTTGGGTGTGTTTCTTAAATGTGTGTATGTTGCTGATTACTCTTTTACCCTTAGCAAAATATAGCATATACCTGGACATGGAATAAACTTTTTTGAAAGGTGCAGATTGGGTAACCACCTAGATAAACTGAATTTCCCATGTATCTCTAGCCTTCAGATACTGGTCCCTCTCTGCCCAATGGTCTATGTGTGTCTAGATCTGTGTAAGAGAGACTTGGTCAGTGTTACTAAACAAAAAGTCCATGCCATTGGAGAGAGATGAACTGTCAGTGTGTTTTTCAGTGACTAGTGCACTCTTGAGAATTATTTCAGAGAGGCCAAAGAACCACATGGAAAACCTTTCAACTGTGCTTCAGACCCAGAAGCCAATGCTTAGTAAGCATATCTAGTTATTTTAAAATGAGAATTTTAACTTTCATTGTTGCTGAAAGAAAAAGGAAATCTTGCCATTATCTTTTTTTACATTTTCTTTTTGAGGGTGAGAGTTTTGGGATTTCCATTCATTTTGCACAGAGATAATAACTATTGTAGATTGTACATCAGGGGTCCTCAAACTAAGGCCCAGGGACCGGATGCAGCCCTCCAAGGTAATTTATCCAGCCCTTGCTCAAGGTAAACCTAAGTATGAAACTACTTGAAAGCACACAATAACAACAACAATCCTATCTCATCAGCCAAAAGCAGGCCCACACTTCCCATTGAAATACTAATAAGTTTATATTTGTTAAAATTGTTCTTAATTTTAATTATTGTATTGTTTTTAAATGTTTTTGCACTATAAATAAGATATGTGCAGTGTGCATAGGAATTCATTCGTATTTTTTTCGAATTATAATCTGGCCCGCCAACAGTTTGAGGGACTGTGACCTGGCCCTCTGTTTAAAACGTTTGTGGACCCCTGTTGTACATCATTTGAAATCAAATCTCTAAGATTCCTTCTGCAATTTCTTTTTTCTTATTTTTCAATTTATTTTCATGTGTCTGTTGTTTACTGGTTCCTTTTTTCCCTTCTTTCTTTTTCTTTTGTTACAGTTTGTGAGAACATGGATTGTAATATATTGTACTGGAGAAAAATGCAGTACTGAGATGAGATGTAGCAAGCATTGAAAGTTCAAATATGCAGAATTTTCACTGAGAAAATGCAGACAGAATTGTACTTGGTTCTCTTTTTTTACCACATGCAGACAGAATTGTACTTGGTTCTCTTTAGAAAGTCGTCTGCTTTTGGATCATAGGTGTAATAAGTGAAATGGGCATATTGAAGGCTCATTCATTAATCTTTATTTGGGGGCTTTTCTCCTCTACTTCAAATACTTTTAGGGAGGATTCTGGATTTGAAGACTGGGACAGTAAAGAAAGAAGGCCAACAGTCCTCAATGAGAATGTGCATGGGATCAAGGCGTTCATTCATCTGTAGAATGAGGTATATGGTTCCAAACAGTAATTTGTTTCACCATTTATTTATTATTATGTTGTAATATGTAGACTAGATACAGCCTGTACAGTATGATAGTAGTAGAACTGTACACTTGGAAGGGGTCCATTTGAACCATGTCACTTCAGGAATCTTTATTCCAACATGACATTTTATTTCAAGCTTTTCCTGATACCATGGAAAACACAAATCATCCTGTGCTACAAATTCAACATATTGAAAGAGATAGATGATAGGTATAGGTAAAGGTTTCCCCTTGACATTAAGTCTAGTCATGTCTGACTCTGGGGAATGGTCCTCATCTCCATTTCTATGCTGAAGTGCCAGCATTGTCCATAGACACCTCCAAGGTCATGTGGTCAGCATGACTGCATGGAGCATTGTTACCTTTCTGCCAAAGTGGTACCTATTGATCTACTCACATTTGCATGTTTTTGAACTGCTAGTTTGGCAGAAGCTGGGGCTAACAGTGGGAGCTTACCCCGCTCCCCTGATTCGAACCACTGACCTTTCAGTCAGCAAGTTCAGCAGCTCAGCGGTTTAAGCCACTGCGCTATCAGGGGCCCCTAGTAGATGATAAACAATTCCAAAATAGTCTGTTCTTTTAAAAACTTATCTTGTTTTCATTAACATGTCAGTTAATGAAAACTGTCATGTTTTTCTCCAGGTAATAAAGAAATCAACAGCTCATATCTTTTCTACTACGTTTATCAGAGTTTAATTTTCCCCAGACCTCACTCAGAGGAACCCTATATTCCATTAACCACAAGAATGCAATCCATTGTGTCACCCTAATGTGAGATTACTCAAAACAGTACTTCTGGAACCAAACATTTCACAACAGAATGGAATTGTGGTTATTTTTTCGGTCTCAGCAAAGTAATATTATCATTTGTTTAAAAAAACATGTTGAAAGGAAAAGAATTAATCACTGGGTTAATTTTAAGCACATGAGCAAATCTTGAGAACATCTTCATTTTTTTGCACTTTTCAAACTTTTGTAGAGCTTGTTTTCAAATGTTTTTTTCTCAATCAAATGACTTGGGAATTGTTCAGGTTCCTTAGGCTGTGGTTTAATTGTTTTTTGGCGTAAAAATACTTAGGATTCTTCAACATATACGTTCTTTTTGCCTTGAGAATTAAGTTCAGTGTTGATGTATTGAGTTTTAAGTACACAACGGGCTGTTAGCTGGAAGGGATGTTGCTTGTGAAGAAGGGATGGATAAATCATTGTATTCCCAGTTTGTGTTAATTTCACTTATAATTTTGTTCTGCATGCTTTAAAATTGATAGTATGCATTTATTACATATGATGATACACATTCTCTCCTTGACTCATGAATATGGCATGTAAACAAAAGGTTATTTATGACTGCCCTGAGTTTAAAATCCATATCCCTATCACATTCTTTTCCTTATGTTTCTCAGTTTGAATAAGAACATGCAGAATGTGCTGGAAAAAAAGAGATGAAGCAAAAGATAATGGACAGAAAGAGTTAGAAGAAGAAAAACCTTACTATTTTTAGTTTAACCCAGTTGCTTAAAACCATTTGTGATTTTTTTAATTGGCTGCACATACTGTTCTTTTTCTCTCTGTTTTTCACATGTGGTCGAGTGTTACTAAATTCCCTTTCATTTCAGGTGTGGAAATGCCCCACTAGATCACTTACCTCTGAACAGATTAACTACCATGCGGAAAAGATACAGGTAGGTATTTATCCTAGTTTGATATTGCTCTTTGTAGTCAGATCTGATATTTGAGAGAGAATAAGCAATTATTTTAGGACCTTTCACAGATTAGGCAATCATACAACTTCTGGAGCAGTGATAGCATCCTGGGCCATTTCACAAGTCTCTATTTATATATTATGGTTGCCCATAGGATCAGCTCGGAATCTAATAATAATAATAATAATAATAATAATAATAATAATAATAGAACCAAGGCAGTGACATCTCCAGCCCACTCCCTGTTTGGGTATCAGCCAGCACGTCAATTACTTAAATCAAGAAATAGTTTTCTAAGATCTATAGAGACATTTGCTGGAACACCTCAGCAAGCTAGAGTCCAAAAGTGGCAGGCTCAAACCCAGAACCTCAACCAATGGCTGATACCAAATAGAGACTCCCCCCTGGGCACACAGAAAACTGGGCGACTTGGAAGGCGCTGAACAGACTGCGTTCTGGCACCACGAGATGCAGAGCCAACCTTAAGAAATGGGGCCACAAAGTGGAATCCACAACATGCGAGTGTGGAGAAGAGCAAACCACTGACCACCTACTGCAGTGCAGCCTGAGCCCTGCTACATGCACAATGGAGGACCTTCTTATAGTAACACCAGAGGCACTCCAAGTGGCCAGCTACTGGTCAAAGGACATTTAATCAACTACCAAGCTTGCAAACGTTGTGGTTTGTTTGTTTGTTAAAAATGCAATACAACCGTATGGTTTGCTCCTGACACGATAAATAAATACATGACGCAGTGATAGCCTCCTGGGCCATTTCACAAGTCTCCATTTATATATTATGGTTGCCCATAGGATCAGCTTAGAATCATAGAATAATAATAGAGTTGGAAGGTACCACATGGGTTATCTAGTCCAACCCCATGCTATGCATAACACTGTGTAACACTATTTTTGTTCTATCATAAAAACTTTGTTTTTGCGGGACATCCTGCAGCACAGTTTGCTATAGTTTTTCAATGAATATGCCATATAGTCTCAATCCATTCAGCATAGTTTGTGGCAGCCACAAAAATGTTTCTGGAGCATAACAACTACTGTACTTTTAAAGTAAGTACCACACCTAAACAGGAAATAACACTTTCAAACCAGGAACAGATATTTTTCAGCATGAAGGGAAAGGTGTTCATTCTGAGTCAGCAGTGTTTAGCTATTTGGGTTTTGGACTAGGATTGAAATCCCCGCTTGACCATGAAAACCTATTGGGTGATCTTCGGCAAGCCACACACTATCAGGCAGTGGGAAACCCCCTCTGAACAAATCTTACAAAGAAATCTCATAAGTTCATTTTTCTTAGGGTCATTATCAGTCAGAAAAGACTTCGAAGGCACACAACAATTAGCATATCAAAAAGTATACATGGAATACCCACTTTTCCAAGCTGTGGTTAACACTTGACATATAGAGGTGAATGGATTCTATAACTGTGGCAAGGTGCAGACTGAAACTTAATTGAGCAACTGAATTAGCAAAAGAGTAGGACCATGGTGAACAAAGAAATTAGTTCTTGTTTTTACTTACTAAACCACAGTTTGTCTTAGAGTTACCTGTGTGTGTCTGTTTTTGTATTTTCATATTACAAATTTGTTTAAAATTGTTTCGGTCCTCAGAGCCAAAAGTAGAGGTGGATAATAAATAATAAATTATTTATTATTAGTAATTACTTGGTCTGGCTTCTGATAATAATTAAATACACTGCTTAGAACATGAACTACTTCCATTTGAAAAGTAAATTAAGAAGTAGCTGATTACATTTCTAAAGTCTGATACTGTGCATCATTTTATTCACACAGCAGCCAGCTAGATGCATATGGGAAGCAGAAATACAAAATATTTGCCAACAAAAGCTTATTATTACTGTTATATATAGAAAGAAACGTAGTACCTACTGGGTAGGGGACAAATCAAAGCCTCCTGATTACTGACCGTTAGTCAGCTTGTATTTTATGAATTTGTCTAAAAATAAGAATGAAAATAACTATCCATGTTTATGGAAATGTATTTATTTATTTATTTGCGACATTTATATGCCACTCTTCTCACCCCAAGGGGACTCAGAGCGGCTTACAAGATATATATACATACAATATGTTATATTATTAGCATAGTACAATATCAGTATCGTATATTACTATATTGTACTATACCATTATATTGTAATATTATTAGTAATGTTGCATGTAATACAAAATATATAATTATAATATCATATTATTATTAGCATTATATTGTATTACATTATTTATTCCATTTAATAAAGTGAGATTTTCTTCTGGAATCACAAGTGTGGGATAGCATATTAAATGTTTGGAATTATAAGATTATTTTTAAATTAAGTATATATTACTTCTTTGGGGCAATTGGGATAAAAATACAATATTTTATAAAATGTTGTTTGTTTATATTACAATATTCAATTTTATTATTTAACCTGATAATGTTAAAGATCATTGGCATCGTTATAATTTTTACTGCTGCAAGATTAGAGCAATTTTTAAAACATTGTATGACTTGGATACCCTTACCAGTTGTGTATATATATATATTTAAAATGCCTTATTTCTCCCTAGGAACGGCCTTGGGCCTGTGAAAGAAGGAGAGGCTCAGTATGCAGTGGTTCATTGTACTGGTTACATTAAGGCCTGGCCTCCAGCAGGGAAAATAGGCAAGGCACAATTTTATATCTACTATATGAATGTCTTTGGTCTTGTTGTTTTGGGTAGTTGCCATTATCCTGATCAGTAAACCAATTCTGAACCTGAAGGGTGCAGGGTGGTGAGATGAATTAATGTTCAAAGGCAGTCCTATTGCACAAGCGCTAGCTCTTGGATCCCATGCATTGTATATTCCACCTCCTGAGTAAGCTTTTCCTGTTTTGCAGAAAGACTACTGCGAATGACAGTTCATTTGTGGTATAATTGCACTCTTTTAGCAAAACATCCCAGTAACTCTGTATTGCAGATGAGAATATTTACATCTGGGAAAATGTGCAAAACAACAGGAGACAAAGAGAAGATCCTATCCAAGGTTGTTAAGGGATGGTTTGGCTGACCTATCCACTTGATGTACTGAGAGACTTCTCTTCTTTCTGACATCTCCTGCTGATTGGAATCAGAACATGAGTTCAGAACATGAGTTGCCTTGCTCTTTTGTAGTCTTGAGTGGAACTTAAGCGCAAACATTAAGGAATGATGGTGGTCTTTTTTGTTTTTTTCTCCCAGATGCTGCCAATGCCAACAGTCCAATTACACTAAAATTGATTTAGATTTTCGTTTATGGATATACATATTTGATTAACCACTTTGTTGTTGACAGGTCTATAGTTCACTTACTATTTGCGTGTACTTGTGCACGTGACGTATCTTTTTCTGGATTTTCTGAAACAAACAAAATTAGCCTAATTGATTTCACATGGCAGCAACTGAGTGGTGATGCAGTTAGCCCAGAATTTCTTCCTTTGCAAATTCAACTGGTATTGGCAGGATTTTCCAGTTACTGTAAATAATTAAAAAAAAACCCACTTCATTTTCATGTTGCAAGAAAGAAGAAAATTTGAACACAAGCAGCAATCCTTAACATAGGTCAAGCTTTTTGTCCGTTTGGTCTTATCCCTTCTGACCTGCCACTGGTCATTAAGGTTATTTAAAAATAATTATTACGGTAATTTAATAACCGCAAGAAAATAAACTTTAAACTTTATACCACAGAAAGCCATTGAAATACACAAGCATGTGGACAATTTCAACAGAAAGGAGGAAACCATGAAAATGAACAAAATCTGGCTACCAGTATTTAAAAACTCTAAAATTGCAACAGCACAACAACAGAGAGGAATCACAAGGACATCTAATTACCTCTCAACAAAAGTTTGCCCCAGGCGCAGTCAGGCCATTGTATGCTAATCAAGGTGGTCAGCTGAAACATGCATACCTAGCTCCAGCAGAGAAGAGCCCTTTGTCTCACCCTGGTCATTCCACAGATATATAAACCCTTTTTCCTCGTTCCAACAGACCTCACTACCTCTGAGGATGCTTGCCAAAGTGCAGGAGATAATGCCTCTAGACCATGGCCATACAGCCTGAAAAAACCTACAACAAACCAAGATAGCAACTACTTTTTCCTCTATCTCCCCTACACCTAAACATATTAAAATGGACTTCCCAGCCCACTATCCAAATATATCAGTATAAAACTACTGAATTTAACTGAATTTAAGCTTCTGCTAAAATATCTGATCACATAAATCAGCCTTTAAAGCCCACGAGGATTGCTATTCCTTCTTTCATTATTACGCTTAAAATGTAAGGGACATGTTCTTTGCAAAGGTGATTGTTATATTCAGTATGTCTCCAAGGTTAGAGCTTCATCCCTCCAGATCAATAGGTAAAGATACTGAAGGAACATGAAAACCCCACTCAGATTTGTATTTGATTGTTCTTGGATTGGTTTTTAACTGTCCTGGATAGAAAAATGCCAGTAATCTTGCAACTTCTGAATCCAGATGTACTGGGCACTGCAATTTAAGGGAGTTGTTGAGAAGCTGGAATGTGTCCAAAAGAGGACAACTAAAATGATCAATAGTCTGGGGAACAAACCCTAGGAGGAGTGACTTAAAGAGCTGGGCAAGTTTAACTTGCAGAAGAGAAGGCGGAGAGGAGACATGATGATGGCCATCTATAAATATGTGAGGGGAAGTCATAGGGAGAAGGGAGCTGTTTTTTGCTGCCCTGGAGACTAGGATGCGGAATAATGACTTCAAACTATAGGAAAGGAGATTCCACCGGAACATTAGGAAGAACTTCCTAACTGTGAGAGCTGTTCAGCAGTGGAATTTTCTGCCCCGGAGGGTGGTGGAGGCTCCTTCTTTGGAGGCTTTTAAACAGAGGCTGGATGGCCATCTGTCGGGGTGCTTTGAATGTGATTTTCCTGCTTCTTGGCAGAATGGGGTTGGACTGGATGGCCCACAAGGTCTCTTCCAACTCTATGCATCCTACTAACCCATTTATTTTCCTTGCTCAGTCCTGATATTCCTTACTTCTCTCAATCTGTTCCTGCTTTACGTGCACACACTTGCTGCTCCACTACATTTTTCATCAGCACTTTAATGCCTGGACAGAGCCAACTGTTGGTTGATGTTTTTCTTTGTTTATTTTTTTCCCATCTTTCTCCTAATATCTGATCCAAGGCACTCATAGGGCAATTTTAAACAAAATACATTTAAAACCATGGGTAATGCAAAAGTTTAAAAACTTAAACGAACAATCATATTTAAAACATCAATTTAAGACTGAAAAGGAAAGTTCAAACATAATGTCTGTATATGTCTATGACTTAAGTCACCTGTCAACTTAACGGCAATTCTAGGAATTTTACAGTGTTTTCTTAGGTAAGGAATACTCAGAGGTGTATTTGCTAGTTTCTTCCTCTGAAATATAGCCTGTAGTACTTGGTCTTTGTTGGTGGTCTCCCATCCAGTTACTAATAATAATAATAACACTTTATTTATACCCCGCTACCATCTCCCCAAGGGACTCTGTGCGGCTTACGTGAGGCCGAGCCCAAAATACAACAATACAAGCAATAACAACAACAATACAAGCAGTTTAAAAACAGCAAAACAAAGAAACAATAACACAAACATTATCAAATAGGACAACACAAAAACTATGGGTAGGCCAAATGTAATTAAAATAAAAATAATGCTGGACATGGGCGAAGGAAGTGATAGGGCGGTTTATGGAAACATACAAGCAGACCTAAAAACAATATGAAGTGCTTTGGAGGACAAAGTGCTATGGGATCACTATTCTGGGAAGGCACACTGGAACAACCATGTCTTCAAACTCCTCTTAAAGATTGCCAAAGTTGAGGCATGCCTGATGTCCTTAGGGAGTGAGTTCCAGAGTCGAGGGGCCACCACCGAAAAGGCCCTCTCTCTCGTCCCCACCAATCGCGCTTGCGATGCAGGTGGGAGCGTGAGCAGGGCCTAGTAGGGTTAACCCTGCTTAGCTTCCAAGATCAGACAGGATCTGTGCCTTTTAGGGTGTTTAGGCTGGACTAAAATATAACAATAGTGATGAAAAATACAGGACATCCTCATGCAATTAAATCCTACCTCATCCCCCAGAGCCCTTCCCTGATATTTTACATTGCCCTATCTCCCAGTGTTTTAAAATTTTAATCACCTGCCCATGGTGATCATTTTTAATGTCGTAATGTTTTGATTTTATATTGTTGTGTCATTTATATACATTGGTTTTGTATTTTAGGTTATTTTATTTTTTTGATTTTCTGTTGTGTTTTTGTCTTATATTGTATATTATTGTATTGGTGGGTGTGGCCTCATGTAAGCCGCCCCGAGTCCCCTCGGGGAGATGGTGGTGGGGCATAAATGAAGTAGTAGTAGTAGTAGTAGTAGTAGTTGTTGTTGTTATTATTATTATTATTATTATTATTATTATTATTATTATTATGAACAGATCTTCAGCAAGCCAGTTAACAGTGAAAGGCTTAGAGAGGACAATGAAGTCTTTGCTTTCCAGCAAAAAGAGAGCACAGAAAGAACCAACTTTGCCTTAGAAGGGATGGAATTAAATAACTTGGGATCATCTACTGAGAAGCCTTTCTGCCATGTCCTCACCAAACATGCCTGGGCTACCTCCCCTTTTCCAGTTCTGGGACCCATGAAGGAAGAACCACTGACAGAAAGGAAGCCCACCCAAAATTACTGTGCTGAGAAACTCCTCCACTGTGGAACTACCCCTCTAGACCAGGTTTCAGCTAGTGCACTTTCATGATTGGCATTCATTGGTGTGCAGATCCATCCAACAATATTCTATCCTCATAATTTTACCCCTCTCTTCCCTGATGCTCTTTTTCTTTCCTGCCTGCCAAACATTCCTTAAAGTCCTATGCTATTTATTTATGTAGTACCAAACAGATGTGTCCAAACTAAATGAAACCAGACCTCTTTGTCTTAGGTTCATCCAGCTACAAAGTTCAGCAGTTCCCCAGCAGTTTTCATAAGAATTTGGGGAAACAAAAAAAGAAAGGCAAAATTGTACTTTGCAGGATAGGTTTTGGTTGGGTTTGGTGTTTTAGCTTTTCCACCGAATGTCTTGCCTTCATCCTGAGCTCAGAGTCACAAGGAGTCTTGTTCTCGTGAGCAAACAGATGACCTCATTTCACAGCCCTTCACCTCTTTTTGTCTGGAGGTCATTATGAAAGGATTCTTTCCTTCTAGTCTATCCTTTTGGAGAAAAGGTTGGCAGCCTTGAAGCCTGGCTCCATGAGCGGAGTGTTAAAGTGACAACTCTTTCCAGGCCTGCCTCATGATTACTTTAGCCTCCATGTTTTTTGTTAAAGGAGGCTCACAAATGTTTCAAGTTTGTCTTAAGCATTTGGAGGTCATGTTGTGAATATGTTTCTTCACTGTGGCACATTCATACTTAACACCGGGACTGTGGCACAGCTGGCTGGGAGTCAGCTGCATTAAGATCACTACTGACCAAAAGATCATGAGTTCAAGGCCAGCCCGGGTCGGAGCGAGTGTCCGACCAATTTGTGTAGCTTGCTGTCGACCTTTGCAGCCCGAAAGACAGTTGCATCTGTCAAGTAGGAAATTTAGGTACCACCTACATGGGGAGGCTAATTTAACTAATTTAT